TAAGGTAATTTTGCATTTACCGTAATGTGATAGCCAAATGTGCATTTGAGAGCATTTCCCTGCTTGTCCCATTGTTCCAGTGAGCATTCCTCTATCTGCACATGTGCAAGAGGCTCATTTCTAGTACATTTAAGGGCTTTTCTCACTTGTGTGTGAACATTAAATGCGCTTAATTTAATTTCGCAATTAAGGTAATTCCATTTGCGGAATCAAGGTTTATTTTCAGTTTATTTTCGGAATGCCTCATTTCCACTTTATTATCGCTTTCTGGCCTACGTGTGATAACGTCCTAAGAAAGGGGCAACCATGAACAGGATCCATCCCCAGTAATGACAAATGGTATATTCTCATGTAACCGAAGCAGTTTTAGGAGCTCTTGTAACCACATGTGAATTGAGTCTTTTGTTAATCTCTTTTCCTATATTTTGATAGATATTATTTTAAAAATTAATTAGTTTTCAGGGTTTTTAATAAGAACCAGAGTGGCATAGTGGTTTTAGCATTGGACTATGACTCTAGAGACCAGGGTTCAAGTCCACTCGGCCATGAAACCCACTGAGTGACCTTGGGCAAGTCACACTCTTTCAGACTCAGGGGAAGGCAATGGCAAAACTTCTCTAAAAATCTGGCCAAGAAAAACCCATTATGTCCTTGAATCGAAAACAACTTCAAGGCACACAATACACAACACACACACACACACACACACTCCTCATTTGACATCGCATTGCACTAATCCATTGTACTCTGCATGTTTACTCAGAGGGAAGTCCTGTTGAATTCTGTGTGGGTTACTCAGAGACAAATTGGCCTAGGGTTGTAGCCTAAATCTGTGGATAAATTTTCAGTTGAATACAGTTCTGTGCCACATTTGGACACAACTATGGCAACTAGGTCATCATATTAGATTTTCAACTGATGAAATTTACACTTGAATTGATATTATGTTAATCTCTTTTATACATTTATTCTGAGTAGGACAAACCTATGATGGAGATTGTGACTTCATGGCAAAAATGAAATGTTTTCATTTTGACTTTTGAGGTGAACCAGAGAAGTGGGAACAATTGAATCAGATCTAGATGCCATAATGCTGTAATTCCCCTGTGCACATGCATTATATCTAAAAGAAATACATGTAAACGCCTAATATCATGTAGAAAGCCTGTATGGGACAGTAGTTTAAGCACTGCACTAAGGGCCTTTACAGACTGCCAGAAATAATGCAGCATGAGGCTGCTTTAACTGTCCTGGCTCAGCGATAGGGAATCATGGGAATTGTATTTTTTTTTTGGTGGGGGGGACACTGAGCTTTTTCTGTCAGAGAGCCCTGGTGCCACAATAAATTACAGTTCCCATGATTCCTTAGCACTGAGCCAGGACAGTTAAAATGGACTCAAGCGGCATTATTCTCTCCTGCAGTGAGAAGCGGCGTTCCGGAGGCTATTTTCACCACCTTAGCCCGAGACCAGCTGTAGCCCTGAAGTCAGCTGGGGACTGCAGCCGCCCCACCC